GCTGGAAATAACTCTGCTTTCTCTCCGCATATGCTGCCAGACTTGCTGGGTTTTTCCAGCTATTTCTGTTTCTACAACTCTCATGATTGCCTGAAAAATCTGCTGCCACTCACTATCACCAAATCCAACCTCTTCACCCCATTAATCCTGTAGACCCTCTGCACAGCAAGTGACCACTGTGTCATCCACTTTCACCTGCCTCTCTCTCATTTCAGGAGGAAAACAGTCCACTATGGGGCAGAAAGAGTCATGATGGGTGGTGGGCTGCCTAACAATAGGCTCCTCACCCGTTATGAGGGGCAGGTCCTGACTCTGAGCTCCCTGAGTGTCTGGCTGACCGTGTCCAACCACAGGACTGGTATCAAATGCTGCCCTTGACTCACTGTGTAGGGACCCCCTGAGCATAGGCTACCTCCTTTGACTGAGGGCTCCTGACAACTTTCACAAGCTTTGTGCTTGCACTAAACAGCACAGCAATACCACTGTGAGCCTGGCTGAGGGGACAAAGCACAAAAAGTCAATGCAATGCAGGATGGGAATTCTGTGGGCATCCAGGGAGGTTCATAGTGAGTTAGCACAAAGAGAGCAACTAAACAACCCAGTGATGCAGCCTGGTTCAGTTCGTGAACTGGTTGAATGTCCTTGAGCCCAGTGTCCTTGCTGCAGCATTACAATGAGAACTGCCGTTGTGCCCAGAGATGCCGCATTGAAAGGCAGATGCATCCTGTAAGTGGCTCAAAGATGTGCCTTGAGAGTTCTTGGAGACTGGCTCATGTCGAATGCCAATGTCCATGCATGTGTGATGTATGTAGTCAGAGCCAATGCAGCATTCCATGAGAGGTTTGGAGCAAACAATGAGCTAAAGTCACCAGGTACTCACTCTGAGTTCCACAGCAAGAATTTGTAACATCTATTTTGCTGACAGTAGGATAGAAATCTGAATATTACTCAGACAAGATCTGCAGTTAATAAAGTCATTAACAAACAATAAGCCCCCTTTGTAGGCAACTCACTGCAGCCTAGTAAAAATATTGCCTTGCTGGCCAGAATTTAGTTAAAGGTGAGTTGTTCCTGACATTGAGTTAGGCCTGGACTTTGCACGTGACTATGTCACATTCATTATGATAGCCCATGTTGTCCAGACCCCTATGATGTTCTGTTCATCATCTTCCTTTCAGGAAACAGAAATTTTGAGATGTGACATTTTCCAAAATCACAATCCCAACTCCATCATCCATCCCATGACCACAGTATTTTCATCTCCATGAGATGTGAGCAGGCAAATTCAAGTCTGCCCCCTTCCCAAGCACACCTGAAGCAGTGCTGGATGTAATAGGATGATAAGGCTGGCTGCTTTAGTTAGCCCATTTCTGTTCTTTGAGACATTGATGTAGAATTAGGTCATTGTTAAGTCCCATAGCTCTAACCTATCAACACCACCTCATCCATCCCCACACCCCCTCATACCTCTATGCTCCCATGCCCTATATTCTCCATGCCCCTTCATGTCCCCATGCTCCTCATATCCTCTGGTCCTTGCAAATAAATAAAACGGACATTGAAAGTAAAACTTATTACAACCTCAGGCAGTGTTAAACAAAACTGACTCTCTCCTTCAAGTTACTTTGATATAGCCATATAGAGCAGAGTCCATTAGTCAGAACCATTTTGAACAGATAACCAGATGACTGTTTTTCCAGATGACCTCATTATAAACACTTGGCCAAGCTCTAAGAATGAGTATTGGACTAAACTCAGCAGGGGTCCATTTGCAAGTTTGTAGTTGAGTACTGCCTTTTTTTTGATTGATACTTTTGTGAGGCTGTAATCAATTTATAGATTCATACAGCACGGAAACAGACTCTTTGCTGTGGTTCTCATTGCCTGTCTTTTTGACACGATTAAGGGATTGAAGAGAATTCAGGCTATATTCATTGACACTGTGAATGGCTGTGGTTGATACTTTTATGAGGTAAGCCTTTTTTTCAAAGGAAATTTTTAAAGCCTCATTAGGGAAAGGCATGGAATAATGGATTGGAATGGCTATATGAGGAGGCATAAATCAGGTGAAATAAGAGGACATGAAAGGGTCATAGGGATGTGTGGGAGCATGGATGGAGTGTAATGGATCTGAGGGTCCACGGAAGGGAAAGAAGGAAATATTGGCAAGATCTTTTAAATGTACCTGCCAATACTTTCCTGATTTCTCAGCAAGCTTCCCCATTGTTCACAAGCTGATTAACCTGGTGGGATTTCTACAGGTTTCTAAATCCTTCCATTTGTGACAACAATTAGCAATAGACTTGAAATTCAAACTACCCCTCAGCTTTTATAACAGCCACCATCAATCCTGATCGAGGAAGATGGCATGAGTCAGTAATGGAGGGGTATGTTTGAAACTCCCGCCCCATGGACCTCATTTTATCAATTCCCAATTCAATCCTCACAGATGTGGGAGGGGACAATCATGCACCTGATCTTTGCCTAGACACCAACCTTATTTTTAGTGAATAGTTTGCTCCAGAATGTATTGGCAAGGGATAACACTGATTTTGACAAGAGCTGTATATTACAGGTCAGTGCCATAGGACGTCTTAGACGATTGCAAACTTTGACTGGGCCTACAGGTACAAAGCCTGATGCTCAATCAAAATTGTGTTACTGATTTAGACCAGCGAGCTGCCTGCTGCAATTCCATTGATGGCTTACTGGGAAAACACATCAAATTTAGCAGTGGGCATCAGGTACCTTCAGGGGCAGATGGTGCAGAGAGGAGAAGGTAGGATGAAGGGATTAGGAGCGCCATCTAATGGCTTTTGGGACTGCTGTGGAGCTGGGAGTTAGATTCATCTGTATTGGCATAGGTTCTGTTCTTAACAAAATTCACCTTTTGTGGGGGCAGCCCCCAGAAATGCTGACTTTACTCAGACCAGCCACATTTAGCACAGGAGTCTTAAAAGTAGACTTCAGTCCTTAAGCTTAATATAAAATAATAAAAAGTTTAAAAGTGTGCGTTTAAAAGCATGCGTTTGCTTTTGCCTTCAACAATGAGGTATCTCATTGTTGGTACGGAATGTACCCGCACACATGCCCCAACCTATTGGACAATTAGATTATCTGGTCAGTATCAGATTGCTGGTCAGAAGGACATTGCTGCCCACAAAATTATCTGCTGCATTTCTTTACATATAAACAGTGATGACACCTCAACAGCACATCCTAGGCTATGACACACCTTAGGATTTACTGAGATCATGAAAGCTGCCATTAGAAAGCTAACTGTTGCTTCTTTTGAAATGACATAAAACAGATGCAGCAAAGTCTAGGCCAATATTGTTTGTACCTTCATGTAAAATCATTACAATTGTGTCTCAGACCTAGGAAAACAACATCACTGCCTGAAATAATTTCTGAAATCATTTTTAAAAAATTAAGTGCAACTTCATTCTTCTTTAAATGTAAGAAAATAGATTCCTTTTTTGAATTATTTTGGTCTCTTCTGACTACACAACAACCAATAGAAGAACCACTCTAAAACTGGCTGCTTGCAGCTGCATGAACTGCTCAATGGGACTTTCCCTATGATTCAGCAGTAAGAGTTCCTAATACCGTGATGTCGCTTTTGCAGAAGTGCTGTAAAATTGTTTACAAAAAGTTTTTTTTCCTCAGACAGATGTTTGAGCTTTTACATTTCTAACTGTCTCTGTTTTAATGAAGAAAATTTATAGTTGGTTTTGATAAAAAGCATGATTCAGACTGCAGTATAACAGCTTGATTTTGGCAGTGCTAAAAGCACAAAAGAGGTCAGCATGAATGGCGTGATGTTACGTGTGGTTTCAAACTTGCAGCAGTACAAAGAGCAGAATTAGAATGCTTTTTTTTCTAAGTGTTTCATAATGCTTAGATCAATGAAGGATGTCACTTTGGCTACTGCAACCTCCAGAGATTAGGAATAAAGCATTGTGTCATTGAGCAGTCCTTGAACGAGGGTCAATAATGCAGACTATAGATTGTTCGAATGCAGACAGAGTGAGGAATAATGATGATAATGGGCCTGAACAGTAAGTAGGTGAAATGCACCATTAGACTTTCAGGCAATGTGGCTTAAAGTGATTTCAATTTTTCTTTTGCCATTTCCAGGGTTTTGGGGGGCAGAATTGGTTAGCTTGCAAAAATCTCAATATTTGATCAGCATGCATGACTTAAAATAATGCAGACAGTATGCAAATTTCATGCTGCCTGCTAATTATACTTATTGTGCACACAACCCAATGCTCAGTGAACTATGGAGTGAGTGCATACTGCAGCACAGGTCTCAGACTTTCGTGTAGATAGCACCACTTAAGGCTAGCCTCGACCATTTAAAGCAGACTGCATCTCTGAATGGTGATGTGCCTTCTGGCTGCAATTTGGGTTAGAAATGACAGGAGAGGAGACTGGAGAATATCTTGGAAAATAGCACAACAGGAAGTAGGACAGGAGTTATGGGTTCAAAATAATAATAAGTAACATGAAGATTGATGTTAGGGAGGGTCTTTTCTATTCAGAGTGATCAATATGTGTCACAGATTGGGTGAGAGGCAAAAGCAATGGAATTATTTAGGAATGTACAGTGCAGCAAAGGTAGAGATGTAGGTGTGCACGGGATAGAAGCATTAAGATGGGCTAAATGACCTTCACATTGATAAATATTTTAGGATCGTTAGGAGTCAAATTCTACGGAAAGGGGGAGAAAAAATTGTGGGTAACAAGTAAAACAACTAGATATGCTCTTATTTTGATACACAAAACCATTGAATTATCTCCACTGAATTATTTATGTATTTCTAAAAGTGTTAGTTTTGTAAAAAAAAATCGATAACATGCTGCTCGCTTGAGCACCTGTGCCTCCTAAAATTAAAACCTCGCCAGAGACTGAACCGTCGGAAATTCACAGAATAAACGAGTTTCATTTTCTCCCAATACCAGCCCCACCGCTCTAACGGTGGAAACTCTCTTACCTGGAACCTTTTGCCCAAGCTGGTCTTTTACTCCCATACTCGGGCTCCTCTTCATATCGCGACAGCAACTGATTGTTTATATTGGTCTCCAAGGCAACTATGTTGCCAGTCATTCCAACCCTCCCCCCACCGCCCCGCCAACATTTATTGTTATTAAGACAATAGTGTGTTGCTTTCCTACTGGAGTACGTGAAATAGCGCCCTGTCTCCAACAAATCAGCTTGTTCATTACTGGGATTAAAGCTGACTAATGTCGAGCAGTATAAAAGGAATGCGAATCCTTTTTATTTTCGGTTACGACTGAAATGATATCGTCCAGTGAAGTTATATGGATTGAACTGAGAAGTAAGAAAGGGACGTGACCTTGTTGGGACTGTATTTAGCCCCTCCACCGCCCCACCCCCATAGTCAGTGGAAAGTTGAGGAGCAAATTTTTAAGGAGATTTCAGATACAGGGGATTTTAACTTTCCAAACGTAAACTGGGACTGTCATAGTGTTAAGGGCATGGATGGGGAGGAAATTGTTAAGATGCAGGTACATTACAACATTTAAAAGACATTTGGATAAGTACACGATTAAGAAATGTTTGGACGGATATGGGCCAAGCACAGCCAGGTGAGACTAGTTTAGTTTGGGACTATGGCCGACATGGATTGGTTGGATTGAAGGGTCTGTTTCCATGCTGTATGACTCATTCAATATGAGGATGTTCCTGTTAGAGAAGGAGCAATAATCGACCTTCTGTTGGGAAACAAGGCAGACCAAGTGACTGAGGTGTTGGGGGAAGCACTTTGGGACAAATGATCATAATTGTATCAGTTTTAAAATAGTTATGGGAAAGGATAGAACTGATCAAAAAGTTAAAGTTCTAAATTGGAGTAAGACCAATTTTGGCAGTATTAAAAAGGAATTTTCAAAAGTTGATTGGGCGAGGCTATTCGCAGGTAAAGAGATGGTTGGGAAGTGGGAGGCTTTAAAAAATGAGACAGTGAGAGTTCAGAGACAGTATGTTCCTGTTAGTATGAAGGGCAAGGCTGCTAAGTGTGGAATGTTGGGGATGTGTAGAGAAATTGAGGCTGTGGTCAATAAAAAGGAGGAGGCATATGTCAGGTATACACGGCAGAGGTTGAGTATAAGGGAAGTATCACACAATCCCTACAGTGCAGAAGAAAGGCACTTGGCCCATCCAATCTACACCAACTCTCCAAAGAGTATCCCACCCAGCCCACACCTTGTACCTCCCATGGCTTATCCATCTAACCCATTCATTCCTGAACTCAATGGCAATTTAGCATAGCCAATCCACCTAACCCATACATCTTTGGACAGTGGGAAGAAAACTGAGCACCCAGATGAAGCCCATGCAGACACAGGGCGATTGTCTAAATTCCACACAGTCACTCAAGGGTGGAATTGAACCCAGGTCCCTGCTGCTGTGAGGCAGCCATGCTAACCACTGAGCCACCATGACCCTAAGGGGGTAGGACTTAAGAGGGAAATCAGGAAAGCAAAAAAGGGGATATGAGATAGCTTTGGCATTAGAGTTAAGGAAAATCCAAATAGATTCTGTAAGTACATCAAGGGCAAAAGAGTAACTAGGGACAGAATAGGGCCCCTTAAAGATCAAACACGGCTGTCTATGTGTGGAACCACAGGAGAAGAGTGAGATACTAAACAAGTATGTTGTGTCAGCATTTATTGTGGAAAAGGACATGGAAGCTAGGGAACTTGGGGAAATAAATAGTGATGTTTTGTAAAGAGTTCAGATTACAGAAGAGGAGGTGCTGCAGGTGTTAAAATGCATAAAGGTAGATAAATCCCCAGGACCTGATCAGGTGTTTCTCAGGACTTTGTCGGGAGGTAGGCAAGAGATTGCTGGGCCCCTTGCTGAGATATTTGTATCATCGACAATCACAGGTGAGGTGCCGGAAGACTGGAGATTGGCTAATGTGAGGCCATTATTTGAGAAATGCTGTAAGGAAAAGCCAGGGAACTATAGACCAGTGAGCCTTATGTCACTGGGATGGAGGGGGGTAAGTGGTCGGAGGGGAAACTGAGGGACAGGATATACATGCATTTGGAAAGGCAAGGACTGATTATGGATAGTCAACTTGGCTTTGTCCGTGTGAAATCATGTCTGACAAACTTGACTGAGTGTTTTGAAGAGGTGACAAAGAAGATGGATGAAGGCAAGGTGGCAGATGTTGTCTATAATATGGGCTTCAGCAAAGTGTTCAACAAGGTTCCACATGGTAGATCCAGGGGGAACTAGCCAATTGCATACAAAATTGGCTTGAAGGTAGGAGGCAGAGGGTGTGGCAGAGAGTTGCTTTTCAGACTGGAGGCCTGTGACCAGCGGTGTTCTGCAAGGATCGCTGAAGGGTCCATTGCTTTTCATTGTTCATATAAATGATTTGGATATAAATACAGGAGGCATGCTTAGTAAGTTTGCATATGACACCAAAATAGAGGTGTAGTGGACAGTGAATAAGGTTACCTTAGAATACAACAGGATCTTGATCAGATGGGCCCATGGGCCGAGGAGTGGCAGATGGAGTTTAATTTAGATGAATGTGAGGTTTTGCATTTTCTTAAGATAAACCAGGGCAGGACTTATACAGTAAATGATAGGGCCTTGGGGAGTGTTGCCAAACAAAGAGATCTAGGGGTGTAGGTGGATAGTTCCTTGAAAGTGGAGTTGTAGGTTTACAGGGTGGTGAGTAAGGTGTTTTGCACACTTGCCTTCATTGATCGGAACATTGAGTATAGGAGTTGGGACTTCATGTTGTGGCTGTACAGGACATTGGTGAGGCCACTTTTAGAATACTGTGACAATTCTGGTCTCCCTACTATTGGATGTTGTTAAACCTGAGAGGATGCACAAATGACTTACAAGGATGTTTCAAGGTTGGAGGATTTGAGTTAAAGGGAGAGACTGAATAGGTTCAACTTTTTTCCTTGGAGCACTGGGGGCTGAGGGGTAGCCTTAGAGAGGCTTATAAAGTCATGATGGGCATGGATAGAGTGAATAGCCAAGGTGTTTTTCCTGGGTCAGGGGAGTCCAAAACTAGAGGGCGTGAGTTTAAGGCGAAGGGGCAAGATTTAAAAAAGATCTGAGGGGTAACTTTTTCACACAGATGGTGGTGCGTGTATGGAAAGAGCTGCCAAAGGATGTGGTGGAGACTGGTACAATTGCGACATTTACAAGGTATACACGAGTAGAACAAGTTTAGAGGGATATGGCCAAATGCTGGCAAATGGGACTTGGTCAGATTGAGATATCTGGTTGGGGCAAACGAGTTGGATTGAAGAGTCTGTTTCCTTGCTCTATGACTGTATGATAATACAATGAAATACACATCTATTTACTTTGCTGACATAGAATGCTACAACGTAGAAGGCCAATCAGCTCATGGTGTCTGTGTTGGCAGAATGATCTGGTTAATCGCATCCTACCTCCTCTTTCCCACGGGGTATGTTTTTCTCCTTTAAAACAGATATCCAAGTCCCATTTTACTGAATATGCTGCCCCCATCTGACTTCCAGATCACATTATCCTACGGAAGAGAAACAGTTCCTTTCTGATGAAGGGTCTAGGCCTGAAACGTCAGCCTTCCTGCTCCTATGATGCTGCTTGGCCTGCTGTGTTCATCCAGCTCTACTCCTTGTTACCTCAAATCACCCCCTTTTTTTCCTAGCAATCACCAGCTTTCCATTGCCATCTCCAGGGAATTTAGGGATGAGCAATAACTGCTGGCTTAGCCAGTGATGCCCCTTCCCAAGAACAAACAAAAACAAAGAAAAATCGCCATTATCCTGTGTTTTTAGTTACTGACTCCTCTACCACTGGAAACGGTTTCTCCTTACTCGGTCTCAAATCTCAATTGTCCCTGCTGCTCCAATGAGTTTCTCTAGTCTCTAAAAATAACTAGAGTCACTCATTCTTGGCATCATTCTAGTAAATCTCCATTGCAGCCTTTCAAAGCATTGAGATCATTCCCAAACTGCATGCCCAGATTGACTTCTCTATGCCAATTTAGGAATGTTCTATCAATGCTGGCGTGTTTACTTTGCACAATTATTAACGCTGCATTTGTAGTGTAAACATAGCATTGGTGCAATCAATGGCATTTTAACCATGATGATCATGATTATATTTACAGTGCAACTAATCCAGGGGCCTAGACCGACGATATAGAGACATGAGTTTTAACCCTATAGCAACAGCTAGAGAATTTAAATTCCATTAATAAATTAGATCTGGAATCAAAAAGATTAATAATGGTTTGTTGTAGACCCATTTGGTTATTAATGCCCTTTAGGGAAGAAAGTCTACCATCCTTTCCTGGTCTACCCTAAATATGACTTGTTATGAAAGCTTCCATTTTAATATTTTTTGAGGACATGTAACTTTGAAGGATTGTGAAGAAGTTAATTTATTTTAAGTTATGTGAAGATATCTGGATATTTTCTTTAAAAGGGGTCACTGAAAGATTGTGTTGGAACTTTTTATTAAAAGACACGTCTGAGACTTTAGTTACTTGCTTGCACTCACTTCTTAGAAATCAACTGCTTGGGCTTTTATGTCCGCCTTGTTTGACTGGTGTTTTGCTTGGAAATTGTTCAGTTTTCAGTTGGGGGAAAAGGCCTGTTATAAAAAGGCTGACTGCCTCATGGCTCTCCTGCTTCTGAAACTCCTTGTTGTGAGTCCAGTGTGAAACCTGACTGCCTCGAGAACAGCGTCTGGAAGACTTCTTGATATTGTATTTCCTGAATAAGTTGCACCTACCAAGATCTCAGAAACAGCTGCACATGAGCAATCTAGGTATGCCAGAATGTGAGATTGACAACAATCTGAAAATTCTGTACTTTCTCTTTCTTCTACCGTCAAGAATTAAATATCATTGACTACAGCGAATCTCCCCAAAGTGAATCTCCACAGAGAAAAATGTCTTTTTTGTTGTCTTTATCTAGTTGATTTGTGTATGTTTGGATTATTTATAGGGATAAACATTCATATTTTCATATTATGAATGGTGTGCTAACCACTTTTGCATCTTCACTGAATGGCTTTGTTAAACAATAATGTTTAATAAAGAAACCTAATTGATCAATCTTTTTAAATCTAAGTCTAATAATATTGAAGCATTTGATTGTTCATAACAGGAATTAGGTTCAGCAATTAAATCTATCTCTGTCCCATGGAGTAATAAGACTAGTGAGAGACCGTTGTAAAAGACCCACAGTAATGTGGTTGACCACCAAGCCACTCCATTGTATCAATCCCCCAAGAAACGCCACAAGTAGATAAGTTGCATGTTCACTGATGTTTACACAGTGTTCAGTTTCATTCACAGCTCCTCAGATATTGAAACAGTCTGTGACCACATCAGCAAGAACTGGAAAACATCCAGGTGTAGCCTGACAAGTGGCGAGTAATATTTTCACTACATGTGCCATGCAAACAAGGAGTAGGGGAATAAGACAGGTAAAGGGTTGAGGATTAACAGATCAGCCATGATCTCACTGAATGGCAGAGCAGACTCGATGGGCCACTTTGCCTCCTGCTATTCCTATGTGTCTTAACCTGCAGAAAGACCATTGACCAAAATCTTAACTGGAGAAACTATATAAATCTATGGGGATGAAAGCCGGTGGGTAATTGTGCAGCATATGACTCCCATCATGATTTCCCACAACCTTCGCAATATTCACAAGCAGAAATAATGAGTTTGGTGAATCCTCTCCACTTGTCTGGATGTGTATGGTTCCAACAGCATTAAATATTCTCAACACCATCCAGGATAAAGCAGCATACTTGAGTACCATGCCATCCACTACCTTATGTATTTACCGCCACCACAAACACTGATGTATTGTTTCTGCAGTGTGTGCCATGCACAAGGTGCACTGAAGTAATGCGTGAAAACTACTTCACCAGCAATTCTCAAACCCACAACATATGAACCTAGAAGGACAAAGAAAGCAGGTGTATGTGAACACCACCAACTGCAATTTCCCCTCCAATGCACACATTATCCACACTTGGAGCTAAATTGCTACTCCTTCATCATTGTTGAGTCAAAATCCTGGATCTCCCAAATAGCACTGTGAGAGTACCCTCACAACATGATGTCAGCAGTGCAAACCGGATCATTTCTATCTTCTCAAGGGCAATTAAAGATGGGCAATAAATCCTGGCCTTCTCAGTGATAACTATGTTCAATGAATGAAATTTTTTGAAAAACAAAGTATTTTTTAGGGGAAATAAACAGTTAGTGTATAAGGGAGCAAATATCCTAAGAGATTAATTTCCATGAACACATTGAGAGTTTGACTATTCTTAAATGTAGGTAATTCTGATCCTACACATTATCATAAAACATATTGTCACACAATTGTTTTCTTTATTTTTCTGAAATAAAAATAGTAAATTTGTTTAATTTTAAGAGAATGTTTATTTTGCTATTTGCAGCACTTAAGTTTAAATTTGCTACTAAAAGAGGATCAATCCTGACCTGCTCAGTCAAATATTCCCCCTCATAACTATGTTGAAGCAGACTGTCTGGAACATGTTGACTACAGTTTTCATCTCCTTACTTGAGAAAGGATGTACTGGCACTGGAGGGGGTGCAGAGGAGGTTCACTAGGTTGAGAAGTTGCCTTATGAGGAGAGATTGCGTAGACTGGGACTGTACTCATTGGAATGAAGAAGCATGAGGGGGGATCTCATAGAAACATATAAAATTATGAAGGGACTAGATAGGATAGAAGCAAGGAGGTTGTTTCCACTGGAGGGTGAAACTAGAATTAGGGGCATAGTTTCAAAATAAGGGGGACCAGATTTAGGACTGAGTTGAGGAGGAACTTCTTCACCCAAAGGGTTATGAATCTGTAGAATTCTCTGCCAAGTGAAATAGTTGATGCTACCTCATTGAATGTTTTTAAGGCAAAGATAGATTTTTGAAAAGTAAAGGAATTAGGTAATGGTGAGTGGGCTGGTAAGTGAAGCTTAATCCATGAAAAGATCAGCCAGATGTTATTGAATGGCGGTGCAGGCTCAATGGCCAGATTGCTTACTCCTGCTTCTATTTCTTTCTATTTCTTTCTTATTTCTTAATCCATTCTTATGGATTTCTCATAACTTGATAGTTACCTTTCTCAAAAGGCTACCATTGACCAGGATATACAACACTGGATCAGCTGTGCCTGTTCAATCATCTACACACTAGTCAACAAGAGTGCTCCTGTACAGAGCAGTTGTGATCACTGCACTCCTGTACTGCAACAAGAGCTGGACTGTGCATTAGCCACACACAAAACACTAGAGAAATTTCATCAGCAATGTCTTTAATGCATTTTCTGGATTTAGTGGAAGGACTGGGTTAACTTGTTCTTGAAGCCAAGTCTACAAGCATCCAGCCAAACCTCCCACAACATCAATAGGCTGGTCAATTAGTCCAGATGGCTGAAAAGTGTCTTTCCCAAGCGGTTCTGTTTTGCCAACTCTCAAACGGCGAGTAGCCCGGAAGGCCAAAGAAAATACCACAAAGGCACTCTGAGGGCAGAGTGGTGGGGACACAACCACTGCACCACAAGTGCCATCCAACATCATTGCACATCGAGGGAGCCCAATGATCCGTTTGAACGCTGCAGACTGTATGTAAAGAGCGATTTGCCGTCCTATCCGGGCATTTATAATTAAGTACAAGTGTTGCCCTTACCAAATCTAATTTGTTCGCCCCAGTGAAGTTCACTGCAAGCTGGGAGAACAGCACCTCAGTTTCTGCCTGGGGGACGCTGCAGCCTTCTGGACTCAATATTGAGTTCAATAACTTTAGGGTTTGAGCTCTTCCATGGCCTTACCTATACCCCCTTGTTATTACATAGACTGCTACTACACACAATCCATTGTTAGCCACTAACAGTCCGCATTAATAGCTCTTCAAACTCGTAAAAAGATTTGTCCTACTGTTCTCTCTGTCTCTGGGCTCTATTCCCACTTTACTCCTTACACCCTTCCAACCCTGTCTTCTGCATATAAACAGACATTTTCCCAGCCACCGTCAGTTCTGAGGAACGTTAACTCCGATTTCTCTCCACAGATGCTGCCAGACCTGCTGAGCTTTTCCAGCAATTTCTGTTTTTGTTTCTGATTTCAATCATCCGCAGTTCTTTTAGTATTTTTTTTCTCTAATTTGTTCGCCCCTGCCCTTTTGTTTTGCTGATTAAAATGTTCCCCCATTTAGGGATCAAGCTGATTACGAACAGTATTGACACTACGGTGGCAGTAGAGTTTAGTGTAACAATTCCCCGCTTCACAATCATTGAGAAAGAAAGACAAGCGCTATGTCGTTGTAGAATGGAGAGTGGGTCCTATTGGTTGTAGTGCTGCTTGGGGGCAGGGATAGATGTTGGACAGACTCTGCGCGGGAACATTTAAAAGTGCTAAAGAGATTAGCAGAAAGCATTGGACACTTTTAAATAACGGTGGAGGGGAGTTAATTGATTTGTAGGCATTGTTGTTCAGCGCTTTTTTTTTGTATGTGAGAGAGAAATTATCAAACTATCCAAACGTTTTACTTTGTAGAGAGCTGTGGTTATAAAGCCCTGTAATGTCTACTCCAGTTCACCTGAGCCCACAAAGTGAAATCTCCGTTTGTCCTTCCAAATCTCTTGCTGAAGAAAAACACAGGGTAAGATTGAATCAAATCAAAAACCCACCAGATATGATGCTGTGTTGGTGAATATGACCAGAACTGATACGTTTATAAATACTTTGTAACTGAGAGCAGTGAACTCTCTACACCGCGGGCGAAGATCGGAACTTTGTGTCTACAGTCAAAATCAGCGTGAACAGATTTAACATGTTTTAAGATGCAGTGGGTTGGAACTTGTGATTTTGTTCTGGGTGAAAGTGAGCTCATTTTGGATCATGTTGCTGTACTTTTCTGGTATGTAACTTGGGAAAGAAGAGTCCCGTGAGGTTTCTCTTGTGCAATTGTTTCTAAAGTCCAATTTTTTTAATATAAAGGGAGTGCAAGAAGTGGGAGACGAACTCGGTTTTCTTTCAGCAGTCCTCCTGAGATGTTTGCTCTCAGCGTATCTTTAAAATGTCTAGCCGTATTTCATTTTAAATCTTGGCTGTTGAGTATAGAAAGTTGTAGTGGAATGAATTTTTAATTTTGGCTCATTAATCTGCAATAACTATGTGACATCAGGAATCGAGCGGCTCCAGCGCTCCACATCAAGATTGCCTACAGTCAAAGAATCACACAGCGCGGAAACAGACCTTTCGGTCCAACTCTTCCATGCCGACCAAGTTTCCCAAACTAAACTAGTCCCACTTTGCCTGTATTTGGTCCATACCCCTCTATACCTTTCCTATTCATGTACCTGTCCAAATATCTTTTAAATGTTGTGACTGTACCTGCATCTACCACTTCCTCTGGCAATTCATCCCACATACCAACCACCTTCTGTGTGAAAAACTTGCCCCTTGGGTTCCTTTTAAACCCTTTCTCCTCTAGTCTGAAAAATACGCCTCCTAGTTTTGAACTCCCTCACCCTAAAGAAAGACCTTTGTTATTCACCTTATCTATGACAGTCATGATTTAAAAGCCTCTGTAAGGTCACCCCTCAACGTCCTAGCTTCCACACACTTAATTACCATGCCTCCTAAATTCTCATCCAAATAGTTTACATAAATGACAAGCAACAGTGGACCCAGCACTGATCCCTGTAGAGCATCATTGGTTACATGCCTCCAATCCAAAAATCAACTCTCCAACACCACCCTCTGTCTCCTACTATCATGCCAATTTTGTATACAATTGGAAAGCTGTCCCTGAATCCCATGTGATTTAACTTTACGAACCAGTCTACTATGCGGAATCCTGTCAAAGACCTTACTAAAGTCCATGTAGACAATATCTACTGCTTTGCCCTCATCTGTCTTTTTGCTCATGTCCTCAAAAAAACTCAATCAGGTTGTGAGACACAATTTCCCACGCACAAAACCATGCTGACTATCCCTAATCAGTCCTTGCTTTTCCAAATGTATGTAAATCCTGTCTCTCAGAATCCCCTCCAACAACTTACCCACCTCTAATGTCAGACTCCATGGTCTATCATTCTCAGGCTTCTTCTTACAGGCTTTTTAAAATAAAGACACAACATTAGCCAACCTCCAGTCCTCCAGCACCTCACCCATAGCTGTAGATATCACAAATATCTCTGCAAGGAGCCCGACAATTTCTTTCCAAGCTTTCTACAACATCCTGGGATACAATTGATCAGGTCCTGGAGATTTATCCATCTTTATGTTTATTTTTCAGAACTCCAGAATCTTCTCTTCTGTATTGGAGACTCTTTTCAAAACACCAATGTTTATTTCCTGAGTTCCCTAGCCTCCATGTCCTTCTCTACAGTAAAAACTGATGCAAAATATTCCTGTAGTATCACTCTTGTCTTTTGTGGATCCACACATAGATGGCCTCATTGATCTTTAAGGTGCCCTTTCTCTCCCTTGTTGGTCTTTGCACTTAATGTACTTGTAGAATCTCTTTGGATTATCCTTAACCCTATCTGCCAAGGCTAGCTCATGTCCCCTTTTCGCCCTCCTGATTTCCCTCTTAAGAATGCCGTTACATCCCTTACACTCTTCAAGAGATTCACTTGATCCCAGTTCTCTATACCTAACATATGCTTCCTTCTTGTTCTTGATCAGAGCCTCAATATCTTTATTCATCCATTGTTCCCTACTTCTCCCAGCCTCACCCTTCACTCTAACAGGAACATATTGCCTCTGAACTCTCGTTATCTCAATTTTCAAAGCTTCCCACTTGCTAGTCGTCCCTTTGCCTGCAAACAGCCTACTCCAATTAACTTTTAAAAGTTACTGTCTCATACTATCAAAATCTGCCTTAATCCAGTTTCGAACTTTAACTTTTATACAGGGCATATCTTTTTCCATAACTATTTCAAAACTAATTGAATTATGATCACTGGTCCCACAGTGCTTCCTCCAATAACAGTTCAGTCAATTGCCCTGCCTTATTTCCAAGTCAAAGTCAAGTTTTGCTCCTTCTCTAATAGCTAAATCTACATTTTGATAAAGAAAATTTTTTGAACACATTTAACAAATTCCTCACCATCCAAGCCCTTCACACTACGGCAGCCCCAATCTTTGTTTGGAAAACTAAAATCCCCCACTATTATAATCTTATTACTCTTACATATATCTGAGTTCACTCTACATGCTTGATCCTCAGTTCCCCACTGACTGTTGGGGGGCCTAAAGTACAATCCCATCAAGGTGATTATCCCCTTCTTATTTCTGAGGTCCATACACATAGCTTCACTGGACAATCCCTCGGAATATCTTCTCTAAGTACAGCAGCGATGTTTTCCTTAATCAAATGCCTCCTCCTCTTTTGCCTCCCCTACTATCCTCCAATAGTCTCTAAACCCCAGAACATTGAGCCGCCAGTCCTGTTGCCCTTCAGCTATGTTTCTGTAATAGCTATGATGTCCTAGTGCCATGTTTCCATACGTGCCCTGAGTTAATCTGCCTCACTTGTCAGATCTCTTGCATTGAAATAAATACAGTTTAATTCTTCAGAGTTACCTCAGCCTCTGAATAGATCTAGCAAGTCTCCCTGTCACGATATTGGTCCCCTTCCAGTTCAGGTGAAAACCATCCCTTTGAACAGGTCTCTTGTGCCCCAGAAGAGATCCCAATGATCTAAAAATCTGAATCCTTGCTCACTGCACCATCTCTTCAGCCATTGATATATCTGCCCTTTGATCTTCTTCCTATTCTCACTAGCATGTGGCATCCGAAGTAATCCAGAGATTACGATCTTTTGACGTTCTGCTCTTTAATCTCCTACCTAACTTCCTATATTCACTCTGCAAAGCCTCAACCTTTTCCCTAACAATGTCATTCTTACCAATGTGTACAATAATTTCTGGCTTCTCTCTCTCTCCCTTTGACAATATGCTGCAACTGCTTGAGATGTCCTTGACCCTGGAACTAGGGAGGCAGCTTACCATTCTGAATTGTTGCTCACAACTGCAGAATTTCCTGTCTGCGCCCCAGAGTGGACATTCCCCTATAAAAATTACTCGTTTGAAGCTTGACAAACGCCACTTAACAGACGATTCATTCTTGGTGCCCAAGATCTGGCTGCCACTTCTATTTCCCTCTGAGAGACCATACCCCTCAATAGTACCCAAAATGGGAAAACTATTTGAAACAGGAATAGCCAAAGGAGACTCCTGCACTACTTTCCTACCTCTCATTACAGTCACCTATCTGTCTGACTGAACTTGCAGTATGACTACCTCTCTAAAGTTACTAATCATCACACACTCTGTGCCTCCTGTATGATCCTCAGTGACTCCAATTGCCTCTCCAGCCAATCCAAATGCCTTACTTCCACTATCATAACCTCCACCTGATTTTTCCCCTGCTTCAGCTCAGTTATGTGCTACTGGACCTTTCATATGTTTTAGCCTTTGTCCTGTGTAGAACTGATGTTCTCCAAGTCTGTTTCCACCCTCTGTACACTTTAGCTCATCCAAAATTCTACCTGTACCTTAGCTTGAGGTCTCACTTCAGTAGTGACTGACCAACACTGATGCCCAAACCTATGGTGCCTCAATTGTAAAATTCTCACCCTCTTCCAACACCTCCATAGTTTCATGGCTCCCTACCATTCTAACCTCTTCCTGCTGTCAACCCCTGTACTTCTCCAATTCTGTTCTCTTAGTACTTTAACTTCCCTCTGTCCCCTCAGATGTTGCCAAACATGCTGAATATTGTTAGTGCTTCAAAATATCATTTCATATCTTTCGCCTCTGTAGTATTTTATTTTTTTTCACAGTGATGCCTGTGCAAGAAGGAAATTGGCTTTTTCTCCTTTTTTGTATCAAAGGATGTGAATATTGCTGGCAAGGTCAGCAATTATTGCCCGTCCCTAATCTTACCTGCTGAGTGGTTTGCATGATCATTCCAGAGGGCTGTTGAGAGTACACTACATTGCTGTACATTTGGAGCTATGCATAGGCCAGATAGGTTAACCAGGGCAGATTACCTTCCTCAAACATCGGTGAACTTGATGGGTTTTAAAACACAATCCATTACTTTTAATAATTGTAAGTACTGTGAGTAGCTGTGTGTAAAACGCAAGACTCAATGAATAACATGACTGTGTTGTGAGAAAGAATAATTTAACAGTGAGAGATCAGTGGTAAAGGCATTTTTATTTACTAAATTGGTGGAAAAGTCAGCAGATCTGACAGCATCTGTGGAGAAATAATTAATGTTTTGAGGCCAGTTATGACTCCTTTTCAGAATGACAGTCATCAGACTCAATGTCAATCTATTTATCCAGAGATGCTTTCAGACCTGCTGAGTTTTCCAACGTTTTGGTTTTACTTCAGATTTCCAGCTTCTTCAATATTTTGCCTTTGTACAAAGTTTTTATTTGTCGCTTTTGCATGAACAAAGCCAGAGACCCACTGGCATTGCTTTTATTTTACTTTATAGTTTGCCAAGTACCTCAACCTGACTTGCTGCTTAAATCCATTCAGAACGTGATCTCTTAAATGTATTGTCATTTAAAAAAAACTTATGACATGATACATTTGTGAATTTTGTCAATTCAAATTTCTATCATAACTGCGAGGCAAGTTAAGCATTTAGTTACATGGATGACTGGAAGGGTGTTTACATAGCCAGTCTGAGCAAAGGTCAATTGCATATGTGCAGAGTTGGGTTTTAAATAATCTCCAATTGTTAGCACCAGACTTGTTTCTGAAATTATCCAGCTGTTCTGCCCCCAACTGCACATCTTAGTCTCTTAACTTTAATAACTGTTTCCAATATTATGGTTTTAGTCTCACTGCAAAATCCTTTTAACCCCAGTACCCTTGAATGGTGTAGCTGTGTTCAATATTGTAATAACTTTATAACTGATAATACCCTCATCTGTATATTTATGGAATGCCAAGTTTCTTCTTAAATTCGAAATAAGGTCAAAATCCTGGAATTCCCTCCCTAAGGGCATTGTGGATCTACCTACAGCACATGGACTGCAGGGCATTCAAGAAGGCAGCTCACCACTACCTTTTCAAAGGCAACTAGGGATGGACAATAAATGCCAGCAATGCCCATGTCCCACAAATAATTTTTTAAAATAAGTTCCCCACTTTTGAAATAAGAATGAAGTTAATTTGACATTTTGGATTAAAATAGAAGGCAATGTTAGTCTCCATAACTTATTTTGTTAACTCTCCAATTCAAAGCTGAAAAGTGAGGGGATCTAGTTTGCTGTATGTGAAACTACCTGAATGTGATCAGCTAATTTCCTCCTTGATAACATCACTGTTGCAAGATACTTGGAGAGTCTCCTGGCCTGGTGCCAGACAACCTGGTGTCCAAGTTCCAAATTTGAAATTTGGAAACTTGGAATTCCAATTTTGAGGTGACCAATGAAATTACTAGACCATTTTGTGGAGCTTTGTGGTCATAAGGAAATCTCCAGTTCCTTTGAAGATAAAAATGAAGCTTTATGTCCTTACTGCAAGTGCTAATGGTAAATCACTGCCAAACTGCTCATCTCCCAGCCTAGAACGTATAGCCCCATGTAACTGAAGGAGTCTCATTGTGCTTTTAATCTGGTACTGAGTGCTTGAACAACAAACTTCCTTCGTGTTCATAGCTGTGATTTACAATAGATTATTTTGGTTAAAGTGAGTTCTAATCTTTTTAAGTGTATTTCTTATAAGCAATTTGCATAATTGAATTTTGAATTTGTAGATTGATTTGAAAAATCCAGAAGCTGCAAAACTTCAGGATGAGCCTTTACTTCGGTGTAATCCCCATCGGTTTGTTATCTTTCCGATCCAATACCATGACATGTGGCAGATGTACAAAAAGGCAGAAGCATCATTCTGGACTGCAGAAGAGGTAAATAAATTATAGACTATTTTGAGAATGAAGAACTACTATTATTCTGCAATAATAGTAGATCTGCCATTCTACATTGAAGGGTTGGAAACTGTGAGTGCTTTGGCCTGTATGTCTATATATTGAGTATCAAGAGTATCAAAATTGTATTGAGATTTCAGATGGTACATGCTATATAGAGAAGAGCTAAAATTTTATTGCACTTCCTGTCATATTCAGTTGAGATTTTGGGATGTACTGTTTACAAATTTAATGAGTGAAGAGTATTTTTGGAAAATAAATAGTAGATTTGCTTCAGCTACTGTATTTACTGGTGATAATCTCTCAAATACTCTGCTTTTAAATCTGACTGACTGGTATTTAGTTGAGCTTGTATCATCCGTTTCGACAAAAGGTTAGATGGAGACTGCTCCCAGACTTTACCAAAGCTCCTGCTTTTCTATTTAGCTACTAGCAGAAGGAAAGTGGCTAATAGGTACTGAGTCCAACATTCTATTATTGTACGCCTGGTCTATGGGGATTGATTGAATATTTAACATCCTGTACCATCCTATCTCTTTTAATTTTTAAGAGCACTTGTATTTACATTTAAGAACAAACCTCTGTGTATAATTTTTGTATCAACTAGTAGGTGTGCTCAAGTTATTTGAGTAGCTTGTGTGTATTGAATGTGTGAGATGATTACAATTGCAGATTCACTTGATAATTTTATGTCTGCTATGTTTCTGTAGGTTGACTTGTCAAAGGACTTGGCACACTGGGGTTCTTTGAAACCAAATGAAAAACGTTTTATCTCACATGTTCTGGCATTCTTCGCTGCGAGTGATGGAATTGTAAATGAGAATCTGGTAAGTCTGTATTTGCATATGAAAATTGTTTCAATAGAATTTAAAACAGTCTAATGATTATCTATGCCGTGAGCACAAGTTTTGAACCAATTTAAATGGAAAAGATTCTATGTTCAAAGTCTAGTACTGCTCTTGCAGTACTTGATACATACTTTCACTGTAGTTGGGCAGGTAATTTGGTACATCGTTTGTTTTTTTTTGAGAAACACTTTTGTTTTTCTCTACCTACTTATAAACAAGATTCCAATTGTGAAGGAATTTGACCAGATGTGAGCTTGCATTTTAATGTACTGACTCCCTTTCCAAATTTTATTCAAATTGCTTTGTCTATTGTAAGATGATGACCTGGTTTATCTTGCTGAGAGAATATTGGAGCTAGCTTTTATGTCATTTTACAGGTGGAACGATTCAGTCAGGAGGTCCAAGTCACTGAAGCTCGTTGTTTCTATGGTTTCCAAATTGCCATGGAGAATGTTCATTCTGAAATGTACAGTCTTCTTATTGATGCCTATATCAAGGATCCTAGTGAGAGGTAGGAAGTAAAGGGTTATGTGGACTTTGTTGTTGCCATCTTCATTATGGTTCTTGCATTTTTTTTAGGGTAAAATATCCAGTTTTGTTCTCCCTTCAAATGGAAGTGGATTCATCCCTGATTTCAATGCATGTGAACTAAATACTTATTTGAAATAGCCATAATACAGCTTAACTAAATGGTTCATCTTCTTCCTTCCCATAATGTGCAATTATTCTCTGCCACTAATCAATTGGGGATTGATTAATAGGATTCCTTATACCGAAAGTCTTTCTTGGTGTGCTTTGGTTTTCTGTTAGCCCACTGAACATATACCAGTGTCAGGCTCATATTGAGTCAGATATGTGGAACTTTATTAATAACCATGTACATTAATGACATCTCAGACTTGCATATACAGTCTGGGTTGTATTCTCACTGAGATTGCTATTATATGATGTATATAGTTGGCTAACTGCCAACAATGTGGTGAATAAATTGGAGACCTTTTGTACTAGAGCATCACATGTCAATGTCATCCTGCTGTCTTCAAGAAATAATGGGCTTTGAGATCAGTGGAATAATTCAACAATTGTTCTTTCTTTTGAGGAATAATAAACCTGTTTTTTTAAGTATATAAAAGGGTGCTCATCAAAAATATTTTATCTTTGAACTTTAAGACAACTCTGGACGTATAACATGACCAGACCTAGTCCCTGTATAAGCATACAGTGTAGCTTCACTTTTGTGCTATCTGTTGATATGTATCATGTATTATATATCTCTAGTTATTGTCTGATTATATAATTTTCAATATCAGAGACATTATCTTGTATGACAGATGGTTGGTCATGTACAACTATTTTGAAAGTTGGCTTGAGACAATGTTACGTGCGCTTGGCTGGACACAACATTACCTTTCCATGAACCCATGTATTCCCATGAAGATCTCAAACTCTTTCAAGTTGGGATAATTGTCTGCACGCTCATTAGTTATGCTGTTGTACATTCTCTCCCTTTTACTGGCATTGGAAATGGTCCAGCCTCACCATATCATGGCAGATCCCCCACTTCAATACTGCACTTTGTTGCTCACTGATTCCTGACATGTAATGCTGCTGACAGGCCACTGTGTGTGCGAGGACAGGTACCTATCTCATGCATCAGAACAGGGTGGTCTTGGGGCTTCTGCTCAATCGCTTAGCACTCACTCACGTTGTGCTTGCTTTGATACTTTCTACATCTCTGCCTTGCCTTGATATTTTGCACATTGCTACTTCATTCAGTATTTACAGGCTTACTGTACTTCTGTCTTGCTTTGCCTTTTAGTACAGACATGACGCCAGGCGGCTTATGTTTGTCAGGAGTGATTAGTCAAGAGGATGGACCTGTTGCTGTATGGTGCTGATGTGCCAATATCTTGCCAACAGCCTGTGACATCAGCTTGCACAACAAACCCATAGCAACTAAATGGTCATGTCTTAAAGTCAAGTCCACTTGTCTTGTAATGGAGACCAATGAGCTATTGTAAACTTAATCTAAATATGGGCTTCATGTTGCTTTTCAGGGAATTCTTGTTTAATGCAATTGAAACAATGCCGTGTATCAAAAAGAAGGCTGACTGGGCCTTGCGATGGATTGCTGATCATGAATCTACATTTGGTATGTGTTCTAACAAATTCAAGAAAAACTTGTACAGTTTTAACAAGATACTAATTATAAAATGATCAAGATTTTGATACCTTGAAGCAATGAAACTGCAAGGATATTCGTCTGTTTAAAATAAGAAGGTGTAGAGCTGGATGAACGCAGCAGGCCAATCAGCATCAGAGAAGCAGGAAAGCTGTTGTTTCGGGTGTGGACCCTTCTGAAGGGTCCAGACCTGAATCGTCAGCTTTCCTGCTCCTCTGATGCTGCTTGGCCTGCTGTGTTCATCCAGCTCTACACCTTGTTATCTCAGATTCTCCAGCATCAGCGGTTCCTACTATCCCTATTCATCTGTTTAGTTTCTTTGTTTCAATGAAGCAAATTAAGCTGGGTTTATTGGTACTGTATCATCTTCTGGTCAATAGCAAAATTTGAGTACCACAATCTTAGTTGTAAGGCTTGAAGTTAATAACTATAGAAAGGTAAAACCAAGGAGGTTTTTCTAAACTAGCATGGGAATCGAATGTATTAATGAACTGGAGTTGGTGCATAGAAAACATTAGCGCAAGAGCATTGACTGAATAGTGAGCTGGGAAACTGACAGCTGAGTTTTTGGATGAGTTTAAGTTTATATAGATGATGAGCAGTCGACCAGGAAAAGACTAGAATAGTCAAGTCCAGATGTAATGAGAACATGGACAAGAGTCTTGACAGAAAATGAGCTGAGACTGGCAATGTTATCAGCTGGCCTTGATGCAGCACATATGGGATTGACAACTCAACACCATGTTCAGTGGGATGCCAAGGTGCAATCTGTGATTCACCTTTTTTGGTGGTTGAAGGGAGTGATAGTTGGTGGCCAGGAAATGGAGATAGTGACAGAGCTTGAAGACAATATCTTTGATTTCTTCATCATTAGTTTATGGGCTGAATCCTTAGTCACTTTCTAGAACTGGCTAATAGAACAAACAGCAGTTTGTTCTAAGATGTATCTTTCAAAATCCAATGTGTGTTTTGCCTTTGCCTACTAATGCATTTAGAATGAAAATTTGAAGTCAATGCATCACTCACTGTTCAGATATGAAGGCTGGCACAAATTATGGTATCTATAATTTTCTTTAATGTTGGACTTTTAAGTTTAGAATCTCACAAAAATGTTTTCTTTACTCTATTTTTCTTTTTTTTTGCATTATGTGATACATTCCCTGACAGTGTGGTGTTGTAGTTTTGTATGGATGGGATGACTGAAGCTTTAGTGGGGCAATCTGGGTTCTAACTGGTGATTTCTAATTGCCACATGAGTACAAACTGCTTGAACCTAACTTGCTTACTCCATCTTAAGTGTATTTTTTTCACTTGTTATCCTACCGTAGGGGAACGAGTGGTTAGCTTTGCTGCTGTTGAGGGAATCTTTTTCTCTGGGTCCTTTGCTGCTATTTTCTGGTTGAAGAAACGAGGGTTGATGCCAGGTCTGACTTTCTCCAATGAACTGATCAGTAGGGATGAAGTAAGTACTGATGTAGCATGGGCAAATGCTGATTACAGAAAAGCAATGATTACACCGATTCCCAAGCTGGTGAAAGTCTTTTTTGTTGTTTGCCTGCCATTTGGCGTGAATTGGTCAGTGCAGACAATCTCCGATTATTTCAATGACATTGCTATGGTTACAGCTGCTGCTTGTTGAATAGATAATCAGTTTTAAATTATCTGTGGCTTGCAGGAGTGACTTTTTTTTAACGGCTTTTAAATGCATTGTATATTCCTCACAGGAGAGGCAGTGATTCTGTTACAGTTCTATCTAGATATTAAACTTGTTTGCACCACAGAACAATCTGCTTCCATTGGCCATTGATCTTATCAAGTGTAACTTGATCTTGTGCAAAATATCCAGGATGTATCGTCCCTAATTTTAACAAACAAGCCTGTTTATTTAAACATGTCATGCCTAGCTTAGACACAACTGGAAAAAATGCGAAATAATCTCAGAAAAGGGTAAGAAATGGGTTAATGTACAGAATGAGGGCAGTAATGGACTTTATTTCCCAATGTTATTCATTTAAGACCACTCCTTCAATCCCCTCTAGCAACTTTGAACCATGTATTCGTAGTAAAGATGTGCATTATTGCTAAGCATCAGCAGTCCCTCAATTGGAGGATGATGACTACTCAGTCAGGAGATTCTGCCATGGGTTTTCATGTGACCGAAGACATGAATCTTTGCATACATGGGGCAAGACATCCAATAAGATAGTGGGATCTGAAGTGAAGGAATTGTTTCCTTTCTCTGTCACTGCTCTGCTTCTATATTTCAAAGTGTTAGAATTCTAGATGAGTAACATGGAGAACTATGTTGCCATTCCGAATGACCAGAGGCAAACACCTTCCGGGATAAATGCCAATGCTGCCAAGCTTCAAAGAAAGCTTCAACATCTTTTGAAGACATTTTTTTAATCCTCCCCTGGAACTATGGAAAATATTTAGCTATTTGAGAGAGCAGGCCCTGGCAGGGGTGTCTATAATTGCAACCATGTGAACATGGTGGTCAGTCCATTCGAGCTGATTTTATGCAGTTTTGCCCGAAAAGCTTGTGGATCTGACTTCATCAGTCAGATCAGGCCTGTTATTTGAGTGTTCAGAAGCATTAGGCTTCTGGCTAGTATAATGAGGACAGAATTTCCTTTTTGATCAAAGCTAAGATGCAACACTTTTTTCTGATCAATTGCACAAGTACATTTTTTAAACTGTGCATTTTTAACTCTATGCTCTTGGACCTTCTGAATATGCAGACACTGGTAATTGATCTTGATGAGTTTTGCACCTTTCAAGAGTAGTGTTATACAGTTAATTTGGTGCTAAACAAAAATAACTCCCTTTACAAACAGCTGCCTCAACCAGGTATCACTAGGTACTTGAGTTGAATGTCTGTCTTAGATTCAGTTTGAGAGATCCAGCATTTCCTGCAGGCTGGTATAAATCAGGTGAGTGGTTTGATTTGTTTGTAAAGGGTAACAAAAAGCCTGAAGAGCGTACGTGTATTGTGTGTGTGTCTCTCTCTGTCTCATTTGTGGAAGTGGAAAATCTGAAATTTAAAGACACATTGCTGCACAAATGACGTCCGTCCTTCCTCCCACCTATCCACTTCTCCCACCTCAAGCCCCACCCCCACCTCCTACCTACCAGCCGCATCCCGCCTCCTTGACCTGTCCGTCCTCCCTGGACTGACCTATCCCCATCCTAACTCCCCACCTGCACTCACCTTCACTGGCTCCATCCCCACCTCTTTGACCTGTCTGTCTCCTCTCCACCTATCTTCTCCTTTATCCATCTTCCATCCGCCTCCCCCTCTCTCCCTATTTATTTCGGAATCCCCTTTCCCTCCCCCATTTCTGAAGAAGCGTCCAGACCCGAAACGTCAGCTTTCCTGCTCCTCTGATGCTGTTTGGCCTGCTGTGTTCATCCAGCTCTACACCTTGTTAACTCAGATTCTCCAGCATCGGCAGTTCCCACTATCGCTGCACAAATGAAGTCAGCCAGCATCTGGAGAAAAATCAAGGTAATTTAAGGTTTGTGAAGAACTTAACCCTGTGCCTCTCTCTATCCCTATGATGCCAGACCTGTTGAGTGTCTGTCAGGTTTGTTGTCTATGATAATCCTTGCATACATTCATAGCAACATGGTTTTCATTTCAGAGGAACTCTCGTTTTCTTATATGTTGCTGAATTCCTATGGGACTTTGTTTTGGTGTTGCCATTCTTTCTTTTCAGGGTCTACACTGTGACTTTGCCTGTCTGATCTTCAAACACTTGGTTCACAAACCGTCTGAAACTAGAGTCAGAGAAATTATCACTGAAGCAGTGAGGATTGAGCAGGTAAACCTCTATTGATTTAATAAACTATTTTAACACTTTATCTGGATGTTTAGAACAAAGACAAACACTCCTTCTGGAGTTGGCAGTATGTCTCCTTTATTCTCTTTATTTTCTCTCTCCCTCATCCCACCCATTTATTGCTGGGTGCCTCCCAATTTCAGGTGGTTAAACAGGTCTGAACAGATTCGACATTAATTTTATTAGCTGAAAGTTCAAAAATTTTAGATATGTTTATTGGACAAAGGGCACTAAAGAGGTTTTTGAATGGTACGAGGATTTTATAGCGTTTCCATTGCCAAAGTATACCTTTTCGTCCTTGTCAAACTGCCATAAACTCCATTATTCTTTTGACAGGAGTTTGTGACTAAGTCTCTCCCTGTGGACCTGATTGGAATGAACTGCACTCTGATGAAATACTACATTGAGTTTGTGGCTGACCGCTTGCTATTGGAGTTGGGTTTCAGTAAGGTTAGTATTCATGCCTGCTGTTTGCTTTACAGAACAATAATAAATGTAGGTCTGTGCTATGGAAATACTGTAAATCACCGCTGTCTTCCAGTATAGTTAATGTCTGAGGAAGTTTGCCTATTTTCAGGCCCAAATCCACTATTTGACAAAACACTGTACAAAAACTTTAACAACCTAAAGAGGTTTGTGATGAAATCTTAATGTCTATATTCTACCTCATGTAACTAATGAAAAATAATGAGAACAATTAAACCACCTTCATTACCACTTGACTGATAGGAAAAATGTAGATGTTTGAGAACATCCAACTGTTTTGCTCTGTCATCTTACCCATTACTCAATGAACCAAGATTTGTATGCCTTTTATAAGTTTAAAATAGTAATAGCATATTGGAAAAGTTTGTAAATAAAAATCCTTTTTTTGTGTGACTTGGGATTTGTTTTTTGGTTAAGTTGTAATTGATAACTATTGGCTCCATGCGACCATCCAGAGGATATAGGTGATATAATTGCAAATGTTAGGAAGGTAGAGATGTGCTTGAGCGATGAGTGCTTTCTGGCAGCTATTTTGTTTTTGCTCCTTTTCTGCTGTACAAGGACTAAACTACATAGCCTGCTTTAATTTATTTTCTTCCATTTCTTCAGATCTTTAAAACTGAAAACCCTTTTGACTTCATGGAAAATATTTCTCTGGAAGGGAAAACCAATTTCTTTGAAAAGAGAGTTGCTGAGTATCAGAGAATGGGTGTGATGTCAAAAGCAGAGGATAACAACTTTACACTGGATGCTGACTTCTAGTTTCTAAAATGTTGTTGCAGGAATGAAGCAACAACACGATTAGTGTGAAAACCTTGGGCACCGGAGACTAGCTCTTATGTTGCAGCATTTGACTATTACTTTTATAGCTGGTATATTTTAACTGACCTTGAAAGAACTTCTGGAGGTACTGCAGCACATGTAATTTTGTACACCAATCTTTTTTATTTTGTTTAGGCAGCAAATAAATTTAGCTTTAAATATGGATTATGAAATATAATAGAGCTGACTATAGTCTGCTGAAAACAAACCATTTAAAATGATTTACCAGCTTCTGTTTTATTACTTACATTTTTTATAGCCAAATGATTGCCTTAGACCCTTTATCTTAGCTACCTGTTAACTACTCTGATCGTGCATGTCACACAACAAAATTTTAAAGATCCCTCCTTGTGCACATAAACTTATCATGATTTCTGAAGTGCTTGTGCGCACATGATAGAAGATCAAAGTTCAGAAACCTTATTGGCAGGGTCAATTCATGAGGGTGGGATTTCTGATTAGTGTCAAATTGCACCTGCAACTTGGCAGCAGAGTACTTTTTCTTTTAAAAAAAGCTTGAAAGCAAATTGTCCAATATTTTACTCCATTAAAATTGTAGTAGATGTGTAAATGATTATGCTTAATGAATTTCTTTGGACTATTTGTCTGAGCTACTTAGTATTGAGCTCCCTTTGTTTGGACTGGTGTAACCACAAGTCTACAAGATGAGTTTCAGCTTGCAGTGTTTTATTTTAGTCACCGTTTTTGACTGCGTGTATCTGAGAATTGTGTACTATCGCATCTTTAAGTGAAACCCACAACTGCAGAATTTGGTTTGAACAATTTAGCACCTTGGTGTTTGACTAAGTTTTCTTTTCATATTATAGTTATCCATCTGAATTGCGCTTGGTAATAGTTGACTTGTGTGCAAATTTTAAGACAAATTATTGACATTTAGTATTAATAGACTTGATAGACTTTTGTTTAGTAAAACAACTATCGGTAACAAAGCACTTTTATTGGGGAAGAAGCATACATTGTCTTAAAATGTGTTTTCCAGTTTTCGGTTCCAATACCACAAACCAGGCTGGAACATCTAGTAATCTGGTCTTGGGTTTTTGCCAGGATTATCAAACCTATTGTAGCAAATAAGTGATCAACCTGATGTGAATAGACTTTGGACTTGAAATGAGAATTATGCTGAAGATTCATAACTGTATTTGCTTCACCGGATTTGTTAAATTGAGATTTAAGATGGATTTTTATTGATGATCAAATAAAATCTGATTATAATTAAATAAAATTAGTCTTCATAGTAATTTGAGTTGTCTTTTTTAACCAATATTCTAGTGTATTGTGGTATGCACTGTGGTGTCAAATTTCAGATTTTGGGCATTTAGCCTTTTTGTAAAAAAGGGATAAAGTGTGTTCCACATATTGGCAAGCTCTGATTTTATATGGAATTAATTTTGAGAGCCTATACAAACAAGATGACAAAGCATTAGAAACCTGATGCCAAAAAGACTACATGTGAAGGAACACAGGCTCCAGGTGTAAAGAACTGAAGGTTACAGATTGGCAGTTGTGAGGCTATAGAGGGTATTGAATATATAGGCTCTAAGCTTAGGAATTACGCAGTAGTCTAGTATTGAATGGGTGGTTTTGATGTGAAATCAATGTGACACGTTGTGATGTGCACACTATACAATTATAAAGTATGGCACAGGTTAAAAAGGCCATTTTTAGAGTAGAACACATGGATGGAATAGCAAAGTAGAGGAGTTATGTTAAACTTGCATCAAATCCTGATTAGATCACAAATGAAGTACAATAGAGCTTTGTGCAACTTGTTTTTGTCGTTGTTGTTTAATTTTTGGGCTACATTGGCAAGGCCAGTATTTGTTACCTCTTTAATTGCACTTGAAGGTGATGGTGAGCTGCTGCCTTGAACCTCTGCAGTCTATATGTTGTATGTACAGTGAAAGAACAGCAATATAGTTCCAAGCTGGTTTGGTTTGTGGCTTAGAGGGAAATTTGCAGGTGGTGGTGTTCTCCCACATCTGTTACCCTTGATCACCTCATGTGGCAGATGTTAAGTGATTGGAAGGTGCTGTCAAAGCAGCCTTGCTGAGTTACTGCAGTATGTCACGTAGGTGGTACACGATACCATCATGTCTCAGTAATGGAAGAAAGATTTTTGAGTCAGAATTGTACAGCATAGAGGCTGTTCAGCCCATCCTGTTTACTCCAGTCATCAAACGCCAATCTATTCTTGTACAATTTTCATGCAATAGTGTTTCAAGTGTTCAACTTTATACTTCTAATGTAACAGTTCCTACCTCATTTTTGGTAGACCTCAATCAGGGTGTCCTCTTCAGCCTTTTCAGCTCTAAAGAAAACAATCCCAGCCTATCTAATTTTTATTCACAGCTGAAATGCTCCATTGTGGGCAACATTTGGTGTTTCTCCTCTGCATTCTCTCTAGTGCAATAATATTCTTGCTACAGTGCAGTGACCAGAATTACACACAGAGCTCCAGCTGTGACCTAACTAACTTCTTATGCAGTTTCATTGTTACTTCCCTCCTCTTGTCTTCAATGCCTTTATTAGTTAAGACATTGAAAACAAGTATTCCACATGCAACTTAACTATCTGTTACCTTCAAGGACCTCTGGAGATCAGTGGACATGCACACCAATGTCTCTCTCATTCTCTACTTTTTAGGGTCTTCTCAATCATTGTGTACTCCCTTATTTTGTTGGTCCTCTCAAAATGTATCACCTCACACTTTCCAGGATTAAATTCCATTTGCTACTGTTTTGACCAACCTTTCAGCATCATTCTTTAATGAGGTTTACTTCCTCACTTTTAACCACATGACTAATGTTCACATCAGCAGTGAACTTATTGATCTAAACTCCTAAATTCAAATCTAGATAATTAATCTATAGTGCAAACAGCACAGAACCCAGGGCATAACTTTGCAATATGCCATTGATCACAAGCATTCAGCACAAAAACAGCCTTCAATTGTCACTCGTGGCATTTGGATCCAAATTGCCCTGGATTCCATGGTCTCTCACCTTCTTGACCAGCCTGTCATGTGGCACCTTGCCAAAAGCTTTACTGAAATTCATGTAGGTTAGATCCTCATACCTAGTCACATCCTCAAACTCAATCAAACCTTTTAAATATAATTTTACCCTTGACAAAGACATGCTGACTATCTCTTATTAACCCTTGCCGCTCCAATTGAAGATTAATTTTCTTTTTCTTTTTCTTTTTTGAGTTCATTTTCTTTTTTGAGTGACGCCTCTGTATTCTCTATTCTGGTCCAAGTCTTCTGGTGTTTTGAGCCCTCTGTACATGCCATAAGCTTCCCTTTATTTCCTTATTCAGCCTTATACATTCTTCAACATCCAGCATTCTCTGGATTTTTTGGTCCCATCCTTCACCTTAAAGGGCACATATTGGGCCTGCACTTTCATTATTTTTTTTTAATGACTCCCACCCTGATCTGATGTAGACCTTGGCCAGCTCCTGTCTTAACATATTAAAATCAGCCTTCTGCAATCCAGACCCTGTGTTACTGGTCTATCTTTATCCTTTTCCATGACTACTTAAATCTTAAGTTACAGTCACTGTCACCAAAATACTTTCCCACTGACACTTCTACAAATAGCCCAGCTTCATTTCTTATATTTAGGTCCAGCACCACCTACTCTCTTGTAGGAATTTCCAGATGCTGGCTTAAAATTCTCTCCTGTCTAAATTTAATGATTTTTACTCTCTCTAAGTCTTTCACAATTTGTGTATCCACACAAATATTGGGGAATTTGAAATCGTCTATTATTACTATCCTATCATTTTTACACGCCCTTCTCTACCTGACTGTTTCGATGAAGTGGAGTCAAAGAGAATGATTTCACTTGTGAGGAAGAGCATAACCAAATGTTGCCAACGTTACATAGTCACCAAGAAATTGTATAGGGAATTTGGAAAAAATGTCTTAAGGTATGTGGTTAATAAGGTATGTGGTCACTGCTACAGGAAAGGAATTGTACACAATAAAAGTGAAAAATGTTGGAAATACTCAGCAGGTGATGGCATCTGTGGGGACAACGAGTTAATACCGCAGTTCAATAACCTTTCATCAGGAGTCGTGCAATCCTTATGTAAATACTCAAAGATAACGCAAAATGCCCAGAAGCATCGGAAGTGAATAGTATTGAATATTTAAGAAACATTTAGACAAACAAAGAAGAAGGGAATGGAGGGTTTTGCTAACAGCTAGATGAATATTAATGAGAGGGGGCTTGAGGAGACTGGTTGGGCCAAAAGATCTGTTTCTGCTCTGTCTTTCCTACACAATGTAATCCTATATAATAGTTTCAACATATTGATCACAATACTATCAACTCTCCTTTAGTCTTTGATATGAAGCTGGAGATTTTTCAATCCTAAGGATACTGTGCCAAATTCTATTATGAGATAAATTAGCTTTGTTAGTTTTGGGAACTCTGGAAAACAGGATCAGGGTCTGGCACTTCTACTATTGCACTTCAGTGGACTAGTTAGTAGCAGTTAGGCTCCAACCTCGATTCTTTGCTGCTCATTAGCATCCTTCCCTGACCTGTATATACTCCCTTTTACTCCCGCCTTGTGTATTTCCACAATGGTTCCTCATTGTCAGCCAGTTTATGTTTTTTTTATTTTTCTTGCTTAAAATTGATTTGCTGAAAATGTTGAGGGCATTCAGTTGCTTGAGACACACTCCTTCATCACAGTTCAGAGTGTGCAAGTGGAAAATGTAATATTGCATTAACATACTTGCTCATGTTTCTAGTCTTTACTGAACATTGGCTTCCATAACCAACAGACTTCAAAGTGATCAAGCCGAGTTGTTTTTAGATAGTTAGGAAATTACTTTTAACTAAATTGTCAAAGCAGAACATGGTAATTAAGCCTCCTTTTCTTAAAACAAAACAATCTCCTTACTTAGAATGGTGTTCATCAAGCACTCAAAGCTTTGACAGTCACACACCCAATTTCTTTCAAAAGCATTTTGGTAAAAGCCTCAAAGCCTAGGGAAGTTGAAGAAGGGATCCGACCTGAAA